GCAATTTAATTATGCTATAGTCCACTGCAACAACAAGGAACTCAACCTTATCCCGGATAATTTGGAATCCGCAATCATGTTTATAGTCAAAGTTTGCATATGTAAGTAAATTATCATAAATAACGAGAAAGCGTATGAAGATACATAAGCACTTGGTTGCACACAATTTTTTTCTAATATATTTCTGCATTTGGTTTTGCCATTATTGAAATTGGCACACCATAATACTTGGACGTGAATAATTTATGCAAGTTCAGTGTTTGGCAGCATGGAATTGTGTTGATTGGTATCATGGAAAAACCAATTCAAATTTTTATTCAAGTGTTTCCAAATCAAACTTCAGTGCCCATTTCAATGTCACTAAGCAGGACATAACGTTACAGTCTTGTGATTATGTGATATTCTATATTCGTAATGCAAAAAATGGAGTGAAACTGTCAATAATGAATTTAAGGTGGATGCAGGGATTTATTCGCTCTCCACTTCATCTGTTCTACTATCAGATATTTGGAAACTTCAAGTTGATCCATCATGGGTTACACAAGCAACGTAGGCATCCAAGTCTGCTCTCTATCTATTTATTTTTCGATATCAATAACAAAATGACATACTTGCTGATTGAGTATATGCATTTAGGATAAGATTGCGTTGTCTCTTATCATCTATTATTGAATGCAGGAGTTTAATAAACAGCAAACTGACTCTGGTAATTTTTTCCATCTCTGTTCGTTATCTTTTGCTCTTTCTAAAATCATGTGGCAATTTAGATTATTGATCTTACCCATGTGCACTTTGTGCTTTATCTTTGTTACTTTCTTCCTTCTTTTTGCCAATGATGTAGAATTTATTGTAGCTTCTTCAGTTCTTTAGTGTTATTCGGTGCCAGTGGGTTGATGCGGAAAGTGTTTCTGTGATTATCAATGGGAGTTGTGAAGAACTCAACCAAAGAATGGAAAATAAATATAACGTGTCTTTTTCCCCTGCTATATTTATCACCTGCTCTCCTTTTTCTCCTACTAAAAAATCGTTAGCATATCTATCAATATCTTCAAAAATTGGAAAGCACGAGGATACGTGGAGAGGAATTGATTTTGATATGAAGTTTACTTTGTATTACGTTTCTCAATTGTCAAGATCTATTTTCTGCTTTACTAATCTTTAATTTGATATGCATTTTAATATAATATCCTTCAACTATAGAGTAATCTACTATGTATAAATAACTAAAAATGTGGTTTCAATCAATTTGCAGCAGCAGTCATTAGCAGTGGGAAAGAGATTTTACTGCAGGTAAATTGTAATATTATACTCTTTTAGTCTTCGTAGTAGAGAAAAACACCCACTTACCAAATAAATGGATAAGCATGGGGAGAAATACTGAGTAGTTGCTTTAACAGGCCTTCAACTGGGAATCTCATAAACATGATTGGTGGAGAAACTTAGAGAGAAAGGTTCCTGATATGGCGAAATCTGGCTTTACATCTGCCTGGTTGCCTCCACCATCCAATTCACTGGCACCTGAAGGTTGAAATAAAAGCATATCATACTTTAGTACACAATCTTATACCTTGCTTTCCCTCTAAATTCATTTTTTGCCTGTTTATTCTCTTCAATGTCAGGTTACCTTCCCCAGAACCTTTATTCTCTTAACTCTTCATATGGTTCTGAGCACCTTTTAAAAGCTTTACTTAATAAGATGAAGCAGTACAAAGTTAGAGCGATGGCCGACATAGTCATAAATCATCGAGTTGGAACTACACAAGGGCATGGTGGAAAGTATAACCGTTATGATGGAATTCCATTATCATGGGATGAACGTGCTGTGACATCTTGTACTGGTGGATTGGTAACTAAATTTCTTATTAGTCAATTTCATGGCAAGTGATTTTGCTTTCGTATTTACACTTTTTATTTGTTAATTTCATGATTTTAGGGCAATAAAAGCACTGGGGACAACTTTCACGGTTTTCCGAATATTGATCATACTCAACAGTTTGTTAGGAAAGACATCATTAACTGGCTTAGGTGGCTACGTAATTCTATTGGCTTCCAAGATTTCCGTTTTGACTTTGTAAGAGGGTATGAGAGATTTAAAACTTTTTCCCATTAAAATCCTTAAGATTGTACTTTCCCTTTTTCTGTTTGCTTCTACATTTCTCTCTTCGTATATCAATTCACTGATAGAGATATTTTGTTCCAATCTAGCTATTCTGCGAAATATGTGAAGGAGTACATTGAGAATACAAAGCCCATATTTTCAGTTGGGGAATATTGGGATTCTTGCAATTACAGAGGCCACTACTTGGAGTACAATCAAGGTATTTTTTTTCTCTATGAAAATTCATAAAGATCGATAAGTTGCAGTTACATTAAACAACAAAGAAGCTGCATATAAATGTTGCACAGGTGCAATCAATCAGATGTTTGAAATTGCTTTCTTCTCTTTAATTTTTTTTTTTTAAAACTTGAATATTTACTAATAGCTACATTTTAGGCTTCAGTATAGTGTTACTAGTAGAAGTGCAACATTAGGAACTTATATACTAATTCCCCCATTTTGTTTGTGTAGATCCACGTGTTATTCGATCAACCCTGAAGTCATTGTTAAGTGGATGAAGATTGTATTGATATTTAAATACTCACTCCATCCATAGATTATTGCTTGATTTTGGAAAGTCCCCTCTATTTTTATAGGGTCATGACAATGACATTTCAATTGTAATTTCATCTTTCTTAAATTCTGAAGTTTCAAACGAGTGATAAAATGCAGATTAATTTTAGATAGTCTTTCTCTTTTCGGGTATAAAATGATAATTGTGGCTTTTCAAAATGAACCACTTTTGTTTGAACATATCACAAATGGAAAGTGTAGCATCAATAAAGTCATGAAGGTCAATATGTAGTGTTGAGTAGAGTTTGATAACCTTTGATATTGAGTATAATTTCTTTGAAGTAGTGATGCTTATTTCGCTTTTCATCCTCAAATTTTTATTTTATTAAAGATTCTGTAAACATTCATCAGTTGTTGGGAGCAGAGAAGATATTCTCATGTTAAACACATAATTTTTCACTTTTTCATGAGTAGAACTTCTATCAATATGTTCATTCACATCTCCCTCCACTAACCCCACCTGCAGATAGTCACAGACAAAGGATTATTGACTGGATTGATGATATGGGGCAACTTGCAGCTGCATTTGACTTCACAACAAAAGGAATTCTTCAGGTAATTTAGAAGTCATTTAGAAGAGCTGAGTGTATGTTGATCTTTAAGGACAAGGTTTTAAACATTTTACCTTCTTTCTTATAAGCTTGTTTGGTTTAATTTATAGTCTCATATAATTTAAAGGTTAAATTCAAACTTTAATTGTACCACACATTTTGTAAGATCCATAACTACTACCTACTTATCCACCACTCATTTCTCTCGATTATAATTCGGCTACTTATAATATCTCCTAGACAATCACTGAAAGTGAATTCGTATTTGTTCTTCACCAATCTTTATTTATATTTTTCTTCTCCTTCAGCAAGCTGTTAAAGGAGAATTATGGCGCCTCCGGGATCCACAGGGGAAACCACCAGGTGTTATGGGATGGTGGCCTTCAAGGGCTGTTACTTTTCTTGATAATCACGATACTGGATCTACTCAGGTACTAGTTTCCTCCAAATATCTATGAAGTAGACCTGATAAATGCAAGATGTTAGGAAAATAAATTTATTAGTGGGAAATTGCAAGTGCAGTAAAGGTGCCAGAGCATAATTCTACCAAATTGTTTCAGCTCTTTCCTTTTTCGGGCTGTAATGGATACCTGAAGGACAAATTGGTTCTATTTAGTGATATGTCATAGCTGCAATTTGTATGTCTTCATTTCCATGGAGATGAGTAGCCATAAAATAATACTCTGAACAGAAATTCTGCTCGATAATATTCTTTATTCTTTATTCATTATAATCCTCACTTGGCATTCTTTATGTGTCGCTTATATATTACTGCAGCCAGCATTGGGGACTTTATACTTCGCAAGTAGTTTCTGATAACATTTTTCCTTTGCAGGCTCATTGGCCTTTTCCGTCAAATCATATCATGGAGGTATTCTTTATAAAATTCTCTTGATTAGATTGTTTGAGAATTTTCATGCTTTGGTTTGTAAACTTAAACGTCTCCATGTATTGCATAGAATTTTCTTGTTCTACAATATATTTTCTTACGTCCAGTTGTTTCTAACACCATTTAGAAATGAGACATTCTAGGATTTGTTTAGATCTTATGATAAAAATGGATGGTCAGTGAACTGGAAGAAGTATATTTTCGTTATTTATAACATTTAATGCTATATTTTTGCTTGATTTATAAGAATAATGTTATTCGTAGTCGCTCATTGCAGCAGTCGCTCTACGTGGCATATACATGGGAGGTGGTTATTTGATGAGCGACTACGAATAGCAGTACTCGATTTATAATGTGTTCTTTCTCACATCTCTGTTCTCGAATTAAATTAAGTTGATGCCAGCGTCCAATGTTTAGATTCTTTTCTGTTGCATTGGTTTTTACAGGGCTATGCATACATACTCACTCATCCTGGTATACCATCAGTTTTCTACGACCATTTCTACGACTGGGGAAATTCCATTCACGACCAAATCACAAAGCTGGTAAATTACTTTTAACAATTTCATCTACTGAAATAATTTTCTTTGAGAAATATGACTCATATATAAATACAAGTGCAGATGGATATTCGACGTAGTCAAGGAATAACTAGCCAATCACCTATTCGAATTCTCGAAGCACAGCCTAATCTGTATGCTGCAGTTATTGGTGACAAAATATCGATGAAGATTGGGGAGGGTTCTTGGTGTCCCTCTGGAAAGGAATGGACTCTTGCAACTAGTGGCCACAGATATGCTGTTTGGCAGAAGTAGTCACTGCTTTGCAGCAGTACAATAGAATAACTCTGCATACTTTTTTCCCATTTAATTTTTACTGGGGGTGGGTAGGAAGGGGGTAAGGGAGGGGTAGAATTTGAATAAGGCTTCTACTATCCATTGTTGGAGGAAAATGTTGTTGAGAATATATTTGATACAATATTATGCAATATTGAATAAAATATATAGAGTTGTATAATGAAATATGTCAATTATTTTCTCTTGCCAATTATTATGTCTTAAAATTCTAATGCATGGAAAGAATCTTTTGTTAAACTACATATTACTTAAAACATTTAAGTTTGATAGCTTATACTTTCTAGCTGAATATTTATTAAATTGGATTCATATAAATTAGTCAGTTTACCCATTTTTAGTAATCAAGAACACAATACAAGCAAATAATAATTTGATATTAAAGTTTTTACTATCTTTATAAAAAGTATGATTTTTAATGCAGTTCATTCTATTTATCATTTTCCTCTAATTTTTCATTCACTTTGAATCTTATTTAAAGGTAGAAGGGATGTCAAGTGGGGCACGACTCACTCCACACACGAGCTGAGTCGGTTGGCCGACTCGCTCTAAAGGTAGCACCGTGTTCGATGTGGAGTGGACGAGGTTCATGAGAAAAGCGTGAAAAACAATGTTGGTTGTTAAAACTTCATCCTAAGAATGAAATATTGATGCCATTATAAAAGAACTTCAAAAAAGAAATAAATTGTACAATATTATGTAGAATGTCTAATATTATTATATACCAAAGGTGCGATTGAAGTGTACAAATACAATGAATAGAGATTAAATAATTAATGGAAATGGATGGGGGCAGTTCTCAGCATTAAACGCGTGGGTGGGGCATTGGGGGATGCTATGAATCTGCCTTAATGAATGAGATGCAAACACTAAAAACAGACAAATGCATTTGGATCATGCTATATATACCTAATTTTTTTACCTAATATTTTACATACACTCATAATAGGGGTGTGGGGACCACAAGTTTGGATTATTTTATTCACGCGAGGTCCACGTGCTTGTGAGAGTAGGTAAACCATTTGGTAAACCAAATTATGTACACTTAGAATTATCCAATGCATTTACATTCACATACAAAATATCTATCTAGAAATTTCATATTTGTGGAAGTTTGAAGGAAGCTGCTTCCTATTTTACTGTCGAACAAACAAGGACGGAGCTTGAAAGATTTGTTAGGGTGGGCTGAAGTTTAATTTTTTTTTCAATGCACTCAATACCATAAAAAATGCTCTACATTCACGAGATTTAGTTTAAAAGGTTAAACTCATGATGCTTGTGACAAAGTGGGTCAGAAAATATTTTCGAATACTTATGACAGTTTTTTACTAATAAAATTAAATATATAGCATATTACT